GGCGTCCGCACAGCTCGCTCGTTACCTCTTCTTCAAGAAACCGTAAGTCAGGCCCGCCGTAAAGCAACCGCTGCAGTTCCCCTGCTTCACACGGCGGAGCCCCATTCGGTTCAAATCTGCATTCGGTTCGTTTTATTTTATCATTATGGCATTCGTCTTAATAATTCCCTCAGCTATTCGCATGTTAACCATTCAAACTAACGAACGATATCATTTGGCTAAATATGCATAACATCAATCGGTTGGTTATTTCGAATGTAAATTATGGTGTATCTATTCGTTTGTTGCTACACTCAACTACACTAACTCACGTATTAAGCACGAATTCAGCCGGTACTCCATGGGGATTTCGCCCCTACTGGTTACAAACGTTATTGCAGTCACTTGTAAAATCCTGATTTCCTGAATTTGTTTCCCCCACAGAGTCATCCCAGTGGTTCCTTCTGGGAATTGTGAATTCTGTCACTGGTATCAATTTTCTTGTAGGTTGGTTGATGTTTAAATTATGTTTTTATGAAGTCCAATGATACACATTACATTAGTTAAGCATGTATTTTACTCTTTTAGGTTATTTTCCATCGAACGGTAGCTTTTACAAGCACGAAAACCAACATCATTGTCGTTAAATCTACCCTCTGCAGTGTCGGGTAGGTTCCTTGTTTTTAGGGCCCACGATCTGGCCATACCACTACGTTTGATCACACGTTCATATATCAAATCTCATGTCCAACAGGTAATCATCACGAGACTCTTACAGTCACTGGTTACTTCTACCTTGACAGCGCAACCTGACTCACATATCAGGTACTACGCCAGATTCCATTTTTCTTCTCTACCATGTTCTGAGGGGTACTGGTCCTAGGTTATATCACCCAACTAGGTAAAAGTTTCTGGTATTAATCCATAGGTTAGTGGTCCCGCGAGACCAACACCCCTCTCCTCATACTCGGAGGAATACGCCCCTCGGGCCAAATCATAGCTAGCCGTCTCGCATTGTCGTATAGAGAGGGCCTCACCTGTCACTCCCAATCTATCTTATGCTTTAACTGCCACCGAGAGGCCAACACCCCGCCACAACGTTCGGTGGCCTCATACGTTCCCCTCTGGCCCACGCATAGGTAGCGCCTCTCAAGCCACTTGGCAATTAGTAGGGACTCATCTGTCACCAGCAACAAGTATAATTGTTTCGCCGCTTGGCATTTAGCTAGCCTTACCAGTACCCACCCAAATCAAACATTACAGAGTGATTGATTAAAGCTACCTTATATTTTTCAGTTATGTCTAATAATCCTCATATCCCAGAGGAACTCTCGCTACCCTGCACTCCTGCTAGGCCTGGTACCCCTGTTCCTGGAACAGACGTTGCTAGTCCTGCTTCTCTCAGATCATCGACCATCCCACGTCTCACGGCAGAACTTAGAAGACGCTGCATCCCTTTCCCAGCTACTGCTAGGAAGGCCAAGTTGTTCAGACTTTTGAATACGGCCACTGACAACTCTGATGCAGGGGAAGGCCCTAGTGGCACACAATTGCCAACATTTCATGCCATGATGACTTCGCTCATGTCATCCACCAGCACAATTAATGACAGGCTGGATAAATTGGAAGCAAGTGGTACTAAACAGACCGCTACGAACCCAACTGCTGCCGGTCACCCTCTGGCTGACATGACTGGTAATTCATTGGAATCAGGGTCACTTAGCAAAGATATTAATCCTTCACACATGGTCCCATCTCACCTTAAAAAGGACATTCTGGAAGGTAAGGATGTCAACCTGGTGTCATTGCTTATAGCCTCCCAGGATGTCCTAGAGAATAGGACTTTTGCATATGGGGATATATCTGTCGTACTAAGGTCTAGAGACCTGAGACTGAACACAAAACTGTCAATCCCTGAATTTGTACTGGGTTTTGGGATTTATAGGGATGTTTACTGCTCGGTATACCCAGGGAAAAGAGCAGAGCTGGATGCATACATGCACAAGATGGTGGACCTGGGGCACAAATACGGTGGTACCGCTTTTTACGATTACCACCGTTCCTTTTCTGCAAAGGTGGCTGCAGCTCTGGCTCAGTTCAATTTAAGCATTAATTAGAGCAAATTGGACAATGAGTTATTCTGCAGGCATTTTGCAGGCCTCAGGCCTCCAGCTTGTGCAGTATGCGCATTTACAGCACACAAATCTCTGCCCAAACACAGCTGAGATCGAACAAAACCAATCTACCCCTAACTTTCCTAAAGCTACCAAGGGATTAAAAGACAAGCTGGGGAGGGACATTGTATTCCTGGGTAAATCCCAGGTATGCAATAACTTCAATGCGGGCAATTGTGGTTTCAGTTCCTGTAGGCTGATGCATGTATGTTCACACTGTTTTAGAGCCCATGCCAAAACTATGTGCCCAAATAAAGCGTTCCCCAAACCGTATCACACGTGTGTGAACGTCACTTTATTGACATCACTTTTACAGCCACATCCTTCACGTCATTTCACTGACTATGTTATTTTGGGCATGACTGAGGGATTTCAAACCGGTCCATTTACCCTCCAGTACACTGGAATGCGTCCACATTAGACGATCCACAGTTGCTAAATACGCTTATCTCAACTGAGTTGGAACAAGGGTTTCTGTTGGGACCATTCTTTTCCCCACCCTTCACGTCTTGGAGAACCAACCCTATAGGGGTGGTCACAGGGAAGACCTCACTCAAACCCAGACTGATAATTGATTTATCAGCACCACACTCCTCCACTGTCCCCAGCTTAAACTCTATAATACCTTCTGAAGAATTTTCACTACACTACGCCACTATTGACCATGCCATAGGGGCCATTCTACAAGCAGGTACTGGAGCATGGCTGAGTAAAATGTGGTAAACGCCTTTAAGCTACTACCCATACATCCTTATCTGGATATCTTGAGCTACAGTGTACACCCGGCATTGGAACTGTACGTTTGGCCTGTTTGCAAGGAACTCTGCTATTTTATATATATGATCTTGAGAAAGACCTGTTTTGGGGTTGAAACGTCGATTGGGACAGTGTGTTAATTTTTTGCTAAGATGCAATAAAAATAAAAATAAATTTCATGAAAATCCCTTGAGTGCACCCACTTCATTTTTGGATTATCTACTTAATGCGGTTAGCACCAGGATACAAAATTATTTCTGTACATGGGAAAGGTAAGTGCCAAGCCTCAGGATATATATATATATATTAAAAAAAAACTATATATTTTTTTATTTTATTAATTATAATTTGAGCGACCTGTCTGACAACCCAGGAAGACAGTCCAGAGAATTTAATTGACAAGCCCTATATTTAACCCGGTAACTTTCCAAAACACCATAAAACCTTTACATGGGGGGGAGGGGGAATACTGTTATACTCAGGTGACTTCACTGAACAAAAATATGAGTGTTTTAAAAAGTAAAACTTATCACGACAATGATATCACCAGTAAAAGTGCAGTTTTTGTTTAAATAAATGCAAAAAACAAATAAAAAACACTAACTTTGGCCAGCATTTGTGACTAAGTGGCTACTATAAAAGACTGGAAATACCCCAGTTTGAATATCCTGGGTTGTCTACATTTGAAAATGGTATTCCATGATGAGGTTAATTCACATTCCTGGGCTACCACATGGTCTCGAAAGGCAACATAGACTCAGCAAACCAATCTGACAAACTGAATTGGGCATGCCCTATATTATTGACCCTGTAACTTTTCAAAACACCATAAAACCTGCAGTATTGTTATACTTGGGAGACTTCAAAGAAACAAAAATATGAGTGTTTTAAAAAGTAAAACTTATAACGACGATATCACTAGTAAAAGTGCAGTTTTTGTTTAAATAAATGCAAAAAACAAATAAAGACGCTAACTTTGGCCAGGGTTTGTGGCTACTAAAAAAGACTGGACATACCCCATTTTGAATACCGTGGGTTGTCTACTTTTACAAATAGCATGCCATGATGGGGTAAATTTTCATTCCTTGGCTGCTATACGGCAGTGGCGTACTAAGGGGGGGGCGGGGGGGGCGGTCCGCCCCGGGTGCCAGCCGGGTGGGGGGTGCCATGTTATTTTTCGCCTCTGATGCTGCAGCCGCCCGAGCGCTCTGTGAAGAGCCTCAGGCGGCTGCAGCTTTGCCCGGGCGGTGCGCCCATGAGGGCGGACCGCACCGCCCGGGCGCAGCCTGAGGAGAGGCTGACAGGAGGGAGCGCTCCTGTCAGCTCCCTCACTGCAGCATTGATAGTCCGCGGGTACAGAGAGCAGCTGTCTCCTGTACCCGGCAGGACTAACAGGAAGTGCACACTGAGTGTGCACTTCCTGTTAGTCCGCCGGGTACAGGAAACAAAAGCTCCCTGTACCCGCGGACTATACAGGGCTCGGCCACGCTACAGGGAGGTAGGGGTGAGAAAGAAATAAGGGGGGGTGAGAGAGGGGTGAGAAAACAACAAGTGGGGTGGAGGAGAGGGGCAGAAAAGAAATAAGGGGGGTGAGAAAGAGAAATAAGGGGGGGTGAGAGAGGGTGAGAAAAATAAAATAAGGGGGGGTGATAGAGGGGTGAGAAAAAATAAATAAGTGGGGGTGAGAGGGGTGAGAAAAAAGAAATAAGGGGGTGAGAAAAAGAAATAAGGGGGGGGGCAGTATAAGAGAAATAAGGGGGTGAGAAAGAGAAATAAGGGGGAGGAGAAAGAGAAATAGGGGGTGAGAGAAATAAGGGGGTGAGAGAGAAATAAGGTGGGGGTGAGAGAGGAAGGCGGGTGGTGAGAGTTATAGTGGGTAAGCAGGCAGTGTACAGGAGGGGTGAGAAAGAGAAATAAGGGGGGGTGAGAAAGAAGGGGGGGTGAGAGAAAATAGGAGGGGGGGTGAGAGAGAAATAAGGGGGGGTGAGAGAGAAATAAGGGGGGGTGAGAAAGATAAATAAGGGGGGTGAGAAAGAGAAATAAGGGGGGGGTGAGAAAGAGAAAAGGGGGGGTGGGTGAGAAAGAGAAATTGGGAGGAGGAGAAGGAAATTGGAGCGGGAGGAGAGATTGACATTCATCACATACACACAATGCACCCCTTGCACACAGAAAAACACACAGACACACATACACAAGCAATGCAACCATTACACACAATGCATCCCTTACACACACAGAAACACACAATGCATTCATTACACACACTCAATGCACCCCTTACACACATTCAATGCATCCCATACATACACAGAAACACACCTTGCAGTCCTTACACATACAAACACAATTTCACACAATCCATTCCTTACACACATATCAGGACATCCCCTACAAACTCCACCCCTTGTGAACAAACTCATTGGTGGAACATGAAGGTGGACCCTGGGACCCAGACTTTGATCTGTGTAAAGGACCCCCAAAAAATGGAGCTGCTTCCAGTTCTCCCAGAACATTGATTTTTGTGACCACAGTTACAAACCGCCTCCAGAGAGCCTGTTCTGCACCAGACCAGTGGAGCCAGACTGCAGCTAGAGCCCATCATCATCCTCATCTGGTTGTAAGTAGGCAATCTAGTATATTATTCGTGGCACTAAGCTCTAATTTACCTCACATTAAAGAAACACTATAGTCCCCAGAACCACTTCAGCTTAATGTAGTGGTTCTGGTGTCTATAGCCTGTCCCTGCAGGCCTTTTAATGTAAACACGGCGGCACTGCAGCACTGGCCTTAGTTAACATGGCAAATCATATGGTTGGGGCATTGTCATGTCACATGGGGGGCGGCAAACTTTACTTTTGCCTAGGGCGGCAAAAATCCTTGTACCGGCCCTGGCTGGAGGGGGCTGTGTGAGCTGTGGCCGCACAGTGTCCCATGGTAGTTAGGGTGCCGTGCGGCCAGTACAGCTCACTCAAGCAAACAGCTGATAAACTGGCCGCACGGAGGAAATGTGTATGTGTGACTGTCTGTCTGTAACTGAGTGTGTGACTGTCTGTCTGTAACTGAGTGTGTGACTGTCTGCCTGTAAATGTGTGTGTAGGGCTGCAGGGATTTTGTAGAAGGGGGTGGGGGTTTTGTATTGGGACAGGAGTCTTTATAAGGGGGGATAAGCAGGGGATTTGTGGAAGGGGGTTGCGGGGGTTTTGTAGATGGGGCAGTACAGGATTTGTAGAAGGGGCAGGACAGAGGTTTTGTAGGAGGGGCAGGGCAGGACAAGGGTTTTGTAGGAGGGGCTGACAGCGGTTTTGCAAAGTTTACAAATTGTAAAAATAAAAGAAATAAAACCTTTAACAATTTTTACAGGTTTTTTTTGGGGGGAGGGGGGTGGGTGCCAAGCACAGGATCCGCCCCGGGTGCCAAATGCTCTAGGTACGCCCCTGCTATACGGTGTCAAAGGCAACATAGGCCCAGCAAACCAATCTGGCAAATTTCAATGTGCAAACATGGAAAAAGGAAAATCCCTACATCTGACTTCTGTAAGTTTGCAAAAACCCATAAAACCTGTACATTGGGGATACTGTTGTACTCAGAAGATATTGCTGAACACATATTGGGGTGTTCTTTGTCAGTGACACATAACAAGAACGGAGAATTCATGCCTAAAGTACAATGTGAGAGAAAAATAACACAAAAATGACTACCCAAAGGTTTGACAAAGACTGGTGGTAGAATTAATGCATGGGAAGTGTTAAAATACCACCATTTGAAATACCCTAGGGTGTCTACCTTTCAAAAATATATGGTTTGCTGGGGGTAAATTACATTGGTCAGCTTCAAAAATGTCCCAAATAGGACATGGGTGAATAATGACCAACTGGAACGCGCACCCTCCAAATAAGGTCTTTTAGTCCCCAGAGACCTGATACACCTATACATGGGTGGCACTCAGGAGATGCTGCTGAACACATGTTGGAGTGTTCTTTGGCAGTAACCCTTAAAGTTCTCAGTACATGTATTCTTACATTTCTATGTGTGTTCAATAAATCACCAATTCCTTCTTTTTTTTTATTTTTTTTTTTTTTATTTGGCATAGATTGGTGGTAAAATGGTTGCATGGAAAGTGTCAAAATACCCAAAGTTTAATACCTTAGCTTGTCTTCTTTTAAAAAATAAATACTTATGAATAGTTATTCAGGGATTCCTGACAGATATCAGTGTTACAACTTTCGTTAATTCTGAAAAAATGGTTTGGAAGTAGCAAAGTTCTACTTGTACTTATTACCCAATAACGTGCAAAAAAAAGCTAAGAACATGTTAACATTAGGTATTTCTAAGCTCAGGACAAAATTTTGAAACTATTGAGCATGGGTGTTTTTTTGGCAGTTGTAGATGCTTAACAGATTTTGGGTGTCATAGTTAGAAAGTGTGTGTGTTTTTTTTTTTAAAATCATATATTTTTATAGTAAATTATATGATATAATGAAAATAATGGTATCTTTAGAAAGACCATTTAATGGCGAGAAAAACTGTATTTAATATGTGTGGGTACAGTAAATGAGTAAGAGGAAAATTATAGCTAAACACAAACACCGCAGAAATGTAAAAACAGCCCTGGTCCTTAACGATAAGAAAATTGAAAAACGGTCTGGTCACTAATGGGGTTAAACTTAATTTGAACTACACTGATCAACCACAACATTACAACCACCTGCCTAATATCGTGTAGATCCCCTCATGCTGTTAAAACAGCTCTGATGAGTGTAGGCATAGACACCACAAGACCTCTGAACTTGTCCTGTGGTATCTAGAACCTAGTCATTAGCAGCAGAAGTTGTGAGGTGTGGCTTCTATGGATCGAATTTGTTGTTACTGCATGACTTCAGATGTGGGGAATTTGGAGGCCAAGGCAACACCTTGAACTCTGTCATATTCCTCAAACCATTCATGAACAATTTGTTTGCAGTATGGCAGGGTACAGTATCCTTCTGAAAGAGGCTACTGCCATCTGGGAACACCGTTGCCATGAAGGTGTGTACATGATCTTCAACAATCTCTAGGCAGGTGGTACGTGTCAAAATAACATCTGCATAAATGCCAGGACCCAAGGATTCCCATCAGAATATTGGCCAGAGCATAACACTGCCTCTAGTTGCCTGCTTTCTTCCTGTAGTGCATCCTGCTGCCATCTCTTCCCAAGGTAAATGACCATCCACCTAAACTAAAAGAAAATGTAATTCATCAGACCAGGCAACCTTCTTCAATTGCTCCATGGTCTAGTTTTGACGCTATATCCCGATTGAAGGCAATCTTGGGCATTCTAACAGATCGATCTATACAGCCCCATATGCAACAAACTGTGATGCCCTGTGTGTTCTGACACATTTCTATTATGGCAAATATCATATTATTCAGTAATTTGAACTACAGTAGCTGTTCTGTGCGATCAGACCAGACGGGTTAGCCTTCTCTCCCCACATGCATCAATGTTTCTTGGACGCCATGGCCCTGAAGCCAGTTCACCAGTCATCCTTCCTTTCACCACTTTTGGTAGGTTCTAACCACTGCAAGACTTGCCAATTTGGAAATGCTCTGAGCCAATAATCTAACCATCACTAATTGGCCTTTGTCAAAATTACTCTGACCTTTTCACTTTCCCATTTTTCTCGCTTACAAACAAATGAAATTCAAGAACTAAATGTTCACTTGCTGCCTTATATATCTCATCCATTGACCGGTGCAGTTGTAACAATATAATCAATGTTATTCACTTCACCTGTTAGTAAGTTTAATGTTGTGGCTTATCAGTGTAGAGTGCATTAAATTTTGGAAAACGGTTTAACAGAGAGTATTGAATGTCCTAGGGTACTTAAAAAACGGGAACAGACAAATTTACACTCACAATGACCACTTAAATAGCACACCTTGAACCTGTATTATGGGAAATTTTAGATACTCTCTTGACATTCTTCCATGCATTTGCACATGCAGAGGCATAACTAGAAACCACACGATCCCGGTGCCAAAATTGCCCTGGATCCTCCCCACCATTGTCACCCCCCTCATCCCCTCCATGCAGGGCTGGTGCAAGGATTTTTGACTACACAGGCAAAGATGCATTTTGCCGCCTCTCCCAAAAATGCATCTTCACCTCTGTGTATTGTAGCCCCCCTTTTGAATTTCTTACCCCCATTAGTGTTTCATTAATCTTAAATTGCTAAAACAAGAATCCAAATGGATACACGTACTCCAAATATTGTCCCCTTGCATATACTGACACACATGCAGATATACAAACAAATACACAGTGACATACATGCAGATACACACCATATAACACATACAGATACATACATGGACACACATGCTGATACACAGATACACATGATACACAGTCACACACTGAGACATATGCAAATACAGACACACAATCTAACACACAGATACATATGTACACACAATATGCTATTCTATCAGATGCATTTTTGTATCTTAATTATTCTGTGTTTGTTTTTTCTGTGCAAACTGTCTTGTCTTTTTCTGTGCAAACTGTCTGAACCCAGTCTCAGTCCAAACATTCTGAGAAATATAGAGCTATGCCTAGAAGCTGGCACATTCTCACTAGATAAAAAGACATTGAATAAAAATAGTATAAAAACCTCTGGACTCCAAAAATAAATCTTCAGATGTCAAAAGAAGATGTCTATAATTACATAAAATTGCGTTTTAAGTTTTCTTTAGCAAGGAATTTTGAGGAAGGATGGGTTGTTACCTTTCTATTCACAGTAAGCAATGGGTCCATGCCGAGATTACTATTTAGACCTATTGAGATAAACCAAAACAGCATGTAATATACATACTGAAAAAGTGCAAACATTTTCAAAGCTTGCTTCGTGGGTAGTTCCAAATCGAATTGTTTTCAAAAAAGTTTCAGCACACTGAGATTTTCCCACCCACATGGACAGCCCAGAATTGAAATGCCAAGCAAGTTTCCCCCCATGACAGATAGATCCTTATAGTTCTTACTGTAAAAAAACAACAACTTTTCTTTGCCTTAGGCTAAATCTCCTCTCTTCCAGCCTAAATGCGTGACCCTGTGTCCTATGTATAGCCCTGTTTATGAATAGATTTCCAGATAATGGTTTGTATTGGCCCTGAATATATTTGTATAATGTTATCTAATCCCTTCTGAGTCACTGTTTTTCCAAACTAAAGAAATTTACATGTTTTAACCTTTCTTCATAACTAAAATGCTCCATTCCTTTTATTAATTTTGTTGCCCATCTCTGCACTTTTTCTAGTGTCATGATATCCTTCTTTAGAGCAGGTACCCAAAATTGCACATATTCAAGGTGTGGT